CTCAGTTAGAGGTCTGCCGGCTACCTTATAGGCAGCCTCCCACATAGAAGGCATTGGTGAGGTGAGAGGAGGGCTGTTATACATTGCTCCTGCCCCCTCAAGGTTACTTCCCCCTGGACTCACAGGGACAGGCTCCTGTCTCCTCTCCTTGGGGTATGAATCTGTCCTAGAACTGGACATCATGCTTTAAGTAGCCTAGCTATCCAGTTGCTCCAAAAGCTAGAAAAAAACAAACTGTTTTGGTCCGATGGTGTGTGTCTGGCTTAAGCTTAACCTTCTGTCTGCCCCTCCCTGGGGCAGCAGAGAAAACAAAAAACAAGAGGAAGAAAAACAAGAGGAAAAAAACCTGCAAAGCTTGCAACTCAAAAGAAAAACCTGTGTCCTTTTACAAATCCTGGGTTCTCAAAATGATCCCGCCACTATGCCACCATGTCATGGCTCCTTCCCCACTCTGGCACGATAAATGCAGAAGTGGGGGCCAGCTGAAGTACCCCAAAACTTTATCTTTCCTGGCTTTGGAAAAAAATTCCCCCCCCCCCCAGAATCTTAACCTAGATTTTGGGGATAAAACTCCTCTGCCACCACCCAAGTATTGATACAAAAATCAGGGGAGAGATCACTTGGGAAATTTCACCCCAAAGTACAAACCAAGACACAAAAATTAACCAATGCCAGGTTAAAAAAAAGAAGAGAAATAACTTTTATTATCACCACAATATCCTGTTGCAAACATAATGACTAGATGGAAAAATAAGAAAATAATATACTCGTGGAGGAGAAACCCACCATGGGCCAGGGCGGTGATGTACATGGCCAGGGGTGGGGCCATGTATGTCATGCCCCCCCTTCCCCATCTGCTGTGGCACTCAGCTGAGTGCCACAGCAGATGGGGAAGGGGGGGCATGACATACATGGCCCCACCCCCTGGCTGTGTACATCACCGCCCCACCCCCATCCCTCCCAGCAGCCCGGCTGAGCAGGCAGCACTCAGCCGAGCGCCACGGTGGGAGGGGAAGGGGAAGGGGAGAGAGAGGCAGGAGGAGGAGGAGAAGAGAGGGAGAGGCAGGAGGCGGAGGAGAGCTGAGGGGGGAGGGTGCCAGTAGGAGGAGAGAGAAAGAGAGAAGACCTGAAAATCCTGTCTTATGATGGGCTAATTGGCTAGTAAAACAATAAAACCTAAGAGATTTATCTAAACTTTATCCTACTTACAGACCATGAAGAGTCTTTTCTTAGAGAGAGACATGCTGTCCCCTTCAATAGCTGGAGAGAAACTGCCCAGGACAAAAGGAGAGGGAAAAGCCAAAAATTCCTTTGTCCCAGTTTGAAATTCCTACCTACATTCCTATTGGTTGAATCTAATCCTCATGATCTTGACAGGGTACTTTATACAACAAGTTTAAGAAACACTGGTCTAGTGAATATGGCTCAGTGTGAAAGCTGAAAGGAGATAGTTTCAGGCTAAAGAGGAGGCACAAATGTTTGCAAGGGATAGTGATTAGCCACACAAACAAATGGCCACAGAAGGTGATGGATTCTCCATCTCTTGATATTTCCAACTCAGCACTGAGCGATTTTATAGAAAACATTCTGCAGGGAAACAGAGCTTTGTGCCTAGGTAACTGGGCTAAGTATAATGGCTTGTGTCACAGAGGGGTAAGACTGCAGGGCTAATGTTTCCCTTGGATACTGTGAATCTACATACTTCAGGGTCTCATCCTGCAAACATGCATCACGCCTGCTTACTAATAAACATTTGACTGGCATTAACATCACTTAATCTCTCTTGTGGGGAGGGGTTATAAAGTCTCTGTTGGTTTAATCCTGATGAGAGGTTTGTGCTACAAATATATGGAGGAAAACGAGGTATTTTAGCTGCAGGAACCTAAATTTAGACACCTGCAGCCATGTTTAAATTAGATTCGTTGGGGGACGGTGACCAAAACCCTGAGGGGAGTAGGAAAGTCGGATGCTGGGAAGAAATGCAAAGAGGAACGAGTGAGAAAGGAAGATCCCTGATTTGAATGGAGAAGATAGGGCGATCAACTGGTTATCTGAGGGGTTTGTACACTAATGCGAGAAGCCTGGGCATCAAGCAGGAAGGACGTGGCCCTGGCCCAGTCCAGGAACTGTGATTTAGTCGGGATAACAGAGACTTGGTGGGATGACTTGCATGACTGGAGCGCTGTCATGGAAGGGTATAGACTGTTCAGGAGGAACAAGCAGGGGAGAAAAGGAGAAGAAGTTGCACTGTATGTAAGAGAGCACTATGATTGCTCAGACCTCCAGTATATAGAGGGAGAAAAACCTGTTGAGAGTCTATGGGTTAAGTTTAGAGATACAAACAACAGTAGTAGTGTTGTGGTTGGTGTCTACTACAGGCCACCGAATCAGGTAGATAAGGCTTTCTTCGGAGAACTGGGAGAAGCTTCCAGATCGCAGGCCCTGGTACTCGTGGGGGGACTTGAATCACCCTGACATCTGTTGAGAGACCAATACGGCAGTACACAGGCAATCCAGGAAGTTTTTGGAGAATGTTGGGGATAACTTCTTGGTACAAGTGCTGAAGGATCCGACCAGGGGCCGTGCGCAGCTTGACCTTCTGCTCACAAACAGGGAGGAACTAATAGGGCAAGTAGAGGTGGGTGATAGCCTTGGAAGCAGTGATCATGAGATGGTAGATTTCAGGATCCTGACCAAAGGAAGAAAAGAGAGTAGTAAAATACACACCTTGGACTTCAGATTTTGATTCCTTCAGAGACCTGAGAGGCAGAATCCCCATGGATGCTAACATGAAAGTGAAAGGAGTCCAGGAGAGCTGGCAGTATTTTAAAGAAGCCTTATTGAAGGCACAGAAAGAAACCATCTCGATGCGTAGCAAGAGAGGCAAACATAGTAGGAGACTGGATTGGCTTACAGGGGAAATCCTTGGTGTACTTAAGCACAAAAAGGAAGCTTACAGAAAGTGGAAACTTGGACAAATGACTAGGGAGGAGCTTAAATGTATAGTTCGAGAATGCCGGGGGGTTATCAGGAAGGCGAAAGCGCAAATGGAGTTGCGACTGGCTAAGGATGTGAAGGATAACAAGAAAGGTTTCTACAGGCATGTCAACAAAAAGAAGGTGATCAGAGAGGGTGTGCAGTCCCTAATGGATGAAGGAGGTAACCTAGTGACAGAGGATGTGGGGAAAGCTGAAGTACTCAATGCTTTCTTTGCCTCTGTATTCACGGACAAGGTCGGCTCCTGGACTTCTGTGCTAAGCGAGGACTATTGCGCTATGTGACACAAGATGGGATGAAGATGGGCAGCCTTTGGTGGCTAAAGAACAGGTTAGGAACTATTTAGAAAAGCTAAATGTACACAAATTCATGGGTCTGGACTTAATGCATCCAAGGTGCAGATGATTGGGAAAATGCAAATGTAACCCCCAGGGAAGAAGGACGATCCAGGGAACTATAGGCCCGTCAGTCTTACCTCGGTTCCTGGAAAAATCATGGAAGGGATCCTTAAGGAATCCATTTTGAGGCACTTGGAAGAGAGGAAAGTGATCAGGAATAGCCAGCCAGCCAGCCAGGATTCACAAAGGGCAAGTCATGTCTGACCAATCTGATTAGCTTCTATGATGAGGTAACTGGCTCTGTGGACATGGGGAAAGTCAGTGGATGTGATATACCTTGACTTTAGCAAGGCTTTTGATACAGTCTCCCACAATATTCTTGCCAGCCAGTTAAGGAAATGTGGATTGGATAAATAGATGGTAAGATGGATAGAAAGCTGGCTAGAAGGCCGAGCCCAGTGGGTAGTGATCAATGGCTCGATGTCAGGATGGCGGTCGGTTTCTAGCAGAGTGCCCCAAGGTTCGGTTCTAGGACTGGTTTTGTTCAATATCTTAATGACCTGGATGAGGGGATGGATTGCACCCTCAGCAAGTTTGCAGATGATACTAAGATAGGGGGAGAGTCCTGCACTTGGGACGGAAGAATCGCAAGCATTGTTACAGGCTAGGGACAAACCGGCTAAGTAGTAGTTCTGCAGAAAAGGACCTGGGGGTTACAGTGGATACGAGAAGCTGGATACGAGTCAACAGTGTGCCCTTGTAGCCAAGAAGGCTAATGGCATATTAGGGTGCATTAGGAGGAGCATTGCCAGCAGATCCAGAGAAATGATTATTCCCCTTTATTTGGCTCTGGTGAGGGCACATCTAGAGTATTGTGTCCAGTTCTGGGCCCCCCACTACAAAAAGGATGTGGATGCATTGGAAAGGGTCCAGTGGAGGGCAACCAAAATGATTAGGGGGCTGGAGTATATGACCTATGAGGAGAGGCTGAGGGAGTTGGGTCTGTTTAGTCTGCAGAAGCGAAGAGGGAGGGGGGACTTGATAGCAGCCTTCAACTTCCTGAAAGGAGGTTCCAAGGAAGATGGAGAAAGGCTGTTCTTAGTAGTAACGGATGGCAGAACAAGGAGCAATAGTCTCAAGTTGTGGTGGGAGAGGTCCAGGTTGGATATTAGGAAAAACTGTTTCACTAGGAGAGTGGTGAAGCACTGGAATGGGTTACCTAGGGAAGTAGTGGAGTCTGCATCCCTAGAGGTGTTTCAGTCTTAGCTTGACAAAGCCCTGGTTGGGTTGATTTAGTTGGGATTGGTCCTGTCAAGAGCAGGGGGCTGGACTTGATGACTTTATGAGGTCTCTTCCAGCTCTATGATTCTCTGTTCAGGCAGCATAACTAGTGGCTTTTTTCTCAAACACACTGGGTGTTCAGAACTGAATCCCATTGATATCAGCGCAGTAATATTGAAACTCAGGCCAGATACTGAGAGAAATGAATGTGGATTTGGGATCTATCTACTGTGTGGTGTTTATGGAATATCTAGACTCAACATTTGACCACAGTGGTAGTGTCCAGCATGTGTGTCACAGGGACAGAGTCTGGGGAGTCTGAGGGTGTGGTAAGGATGAAAGTCCCTCCTGAAATGTCTCCAATTGCTCTTCTCCCCCTGCCAGGCTGCAGAATACCTATGTCTGTCCCCAGCTCAGCCCCCGGCTTGCAGAGCCAGGGACAGGAAATGGCCATGGCAGAGCCGGTGAGCTTCGAGGAGGTGGCTGTGTATTTCTCTGAGGAGGAATGGACTCTGCTGGACCTGGGCCAGAGAGCCCTCTACTGGGATGTGATGCAGGAGAATTATGAGGCTGTGAGCTGGCTGGGTAAGGATTCCTGTCCTCGGGTATGAGCAGCTGAGTTGGCTCTCGAGCAGCTGGGTTGGGTTTTGTTCATTGCCTCCCCAATGTCAGGAGTATCACTGCCAGTAATCCTCTAAGGTCTCAATGTGCTTCCCTACCACCTTGCCCATTAGCTGGAGGTGTCAGTGGTCAGGATGTTAAAATTGGTTAATTGAATAATCGAATAACCTCATTGATTCTTATCAGTTAGTTGACTATTCTATAGTCCCCAGGAGGTAGTTCCAGCAGCCAGTGCACTCTGTCCTTACTTCCAAGGAGCCCCCTGCCACTTCTCATTGCTCCATCTGTATCAGAGACAGCAGCTTGGTATGCCAGGAGGGAGCTGGTCCGTGAGGGGACCAGTTTAAAATCCAGCTTCCTGGGCAGATGAGCTGCCTACCTCCCTGTGCTGCTGCCTCTCATAAAGAAGTAGCAGCGTGGGGTGACAGAAGCCTCTGTCTGGTGAGGTTTCAGAGTTCCAAGACCTGGCACAACCCGTAACAGAGCTGGGCTGCCTGCCTGTCCACCTCATAAAACAATTTAAAAGCAAAGCTAGAGTAGGGGTAGGTGCAAACTGGCCAGCCTGCTAAAAAATTTACTGGGGAGGAGGGGCAAATGCATGTAGTCTGTACTGTTAACCTATAAGCTTTTGCTTCTTGATTAATCAGTTAATCGATTACACTATTACTTCCCTAGTGAATGGAAATGCCCAGGCAGGAACGGCAGGTACTGGAGTTGTGGGGCTGGGTTGAGCTGTTGTTAGTGCCTGCAAGGTACCCTTTTGCCAGTGGGCTGAGCCCTTCAGAGTCCTTTAATGCCTCTGGTATATTCTGTGCAGCCCAGCAGGGCAGCTGATGGCAGGCAAGACTGGCCACAAAAGAAAGCTGGGAAACCACACAAAGGCTGCTGCTGGCAGAGTAGAACGGAGGCTGCAGAAGGGGAGCTCAGTTGCAGCAACATCCACAAGCAGCAGAGAAGCAGCACAACCCATCTCCACCCTGGCCAGCCACAGGAACAGCTGGGCACTGCCCAGGCTGGCTATGGGAGTGGCAATTCTTGTGGGCAGCTGGCAGGGCCCACTCAGGCACAGACTATCAGGATCAGGAGTGTGGAACATAAGCAGGGTCTAAAGCAACCAGCCAACAGTTCACTCTCCTGCTCAGACAACTTTCCCTGCCTCATTCTGGCCCAAGTAGAGCATCTGAGCCAAAGACCAGGATGAGCTGAGACCTGTAGCCAAGTGCTTTGTAGACATAGCCCTTGGGGTTCTAGAGCTCTGCTGGGTCCTTCCTTTCTAAGCCCTAGTGATCTGCCACGTGGAAGCTGCAGTCTGAGCCCTGCCTGGGGACCTCACTGTCAGACCTGCAAATCCTCACTAGAGCTCCTCTTCTGAGCAGTGTGTTCCTGTCATGCTCTGGGATGGGGGTAACATAAGGGACCATGAGGGAGACTAAGTTGTACCCTAGAATGTGCAGCAGAGCGCTTAGAGCTCCCCTGGGGAATCAGCTGGGCAGGGGGGGTGCACCTTTACTGCAGGTGAGTGTGTCCTGGGATCTTGTCCAATCCAGAGCCCAGTCTCTGCAAGGTGTGGAAGGAGCCTCTCTGGATGGGTGACTCAGATCCTGGCTCTGGAAGCAGGAATGGAGTTCAGTATTTGGTTAATTGTTCCCCAATTAGGATTTCCAGTCTTCGAAGCTCACGTGATCTCCTGGAAGGAGCAAGGGGAGGAGTTGTGGGTCCCAGATCTCCAGGGCTGTGAGGAAGGAGGGATCATCACAGGTGAGCAGTCAGCTAAACCGACTCACAAACAAATTTCTGTCCCCTAATAGCGGGTGTCACTTGTGAGTTCAGTATTTGGTTAATTGTTCCCCAATTAGGATTTCCAGTCTTCGAAGCTCACGTGATCTCCTGGAAGGAGCAAGGGGAGGAGTTGTGGGTCCCAGATCTCCAGGGCTGTGAGGAAGGAGGGATCATCACAGGTGAGCAGTCAGCTAAACCGACTCACAAACAAATTTCTGTCCCCTAATAGCGGGTGTCACTTGTGTATGTTTATCAAGTCTCACTGACCTTTCATCCTGTCTTCAACTCCAATATGAGGGTGCTGGGTGGGCAAAAGGGCTATGAGGAAGAAGGGTGAACTGGGCTTTTGATTATTCAACGTTTCCAACCATTCTTTGGGTGTGCCACCCATTTTCTATTCCCCATTGATAATTTTTCTTTCAGATTAGCACAGGGAAATCCTGTTCAGATTCTCTCTGTCCCAGCAGGTGATGGGATGCTGACTGAGAACAGTGAGAGGAGTCTTCAGCAGCTGTGGGCAATTATGGGAAAGATCTGAAGGCTGTGTTTCTCAGATCCCTGAGCAAGGAGACACCTGTGAGAGTCAGTATAGCCCACAAAGGCAGCAAGGAAACCATCCAGAAGAAGGGCAGGGTAAATCCAGTCACAGAAACAGAGTGGTGAAAGCAAACACAGAAAGGGTTCAACAGAAAATCCCCCATCAACAGTTACCCTGTGCTTCCAGTGTCTGTACAACTCTTATTAAACATGAAAGAGCACAGACAGCAGAGAAACCCTTCAGCTGCTCAGACTGTGGGAAAAGCTTCAGTCGGAGTTCAAACCTTGTTAGACACAGGAGGACCCATGCACGAAAGAAACCTTTCAACTGCTCTGATTGCAGGAAAAGCTACATTTTCCGCTCACACCTTATTATCCATAGGAGAATCCACACAAGGGAGAAATCCTTCAGCTGCTCTTACTGCAGAAAAAGCTTCAAGGAGAGTTCAAACCTTGTTAAACACGAAAGAACCCACAGAGGAGACAGACCTTTCACCTGCCCTGATTATGGGAAAAGCTTCACTCAGAGCTCAAGTCTTGTTGCTAATAAGAGATCCCACACAGGAGAGAGACCTTTCAGCTGTTCTGACTGTGGGATAAGCTTTAGTCTGTGCTCAGGACTTATTGATCACCAAGTAACACATAGAGGAAAGAGACCCCATAACTGCTCCGATTGTGGAAAGGACTTCAAATACAGGTCAGACTTTGTTAAACATAAAAGAGCCCACACAGGGGAAAAACCATTCAATTGCTCAGACTGTGGGAAAAGCTTTAGTCAGAGTTCACACCTTGTTGTACATAAGAGAACCCACACAGGAGAGAAACCGTTCATCTGCTCTGACTGTGGGAAAAGCTTCAGTCAGAGTTCAAGTCTTGATGCTCATAGGAGAACCCACACAGGAGAGAGACCTTTCAGCTGCTCTGACTGTGGGAAAAGCTTTAGTCTGCGCTCAGGACTTAATGATCACCAGATAATACATAGAGGAGAGAGACCTCATAACTGCTCTGATTGCGGAAAAGGCTTCAAACACAGGTCAGACTTTGTTAAACATAAAAGAGTCCACACAGGGGAGAAACCCTTCAATTGCTCAGACTGTGGGAAAAGCTTCAGTCGGAGCTCACATCTTGTTTCACATAGGAGAACCCACACAGGAGAGAAACCTTTCAGATGCTCTGATTGCGGGAAAAGTTTCAGGAATAGTTCAAACCTTGTTGTTCATAGGAGAACCCACACAGGAGAGAAACCTTTCAGATGCTCTGATTGCGGGAAAAGTTTCAGGAATAGTTCAAACCTTGTTGTTCATAGGAGAACCCACACAGGAGAGAAACCTTTCAGATGTCCTGACTGTGGGAAAAGCTTCAAGGAGAGGTCAGGCCTTGTTAAACACAAAAGAACGCACACAGGTTAGAAACCCTTCACCTACTCTGACTGTGAGAAATGTTTTAGATGGCACTCACACTTTATCTATCACCTGATAATACAAACAAGAGTGATAGCTCAGAACTCCTTTGATTGTGGAAATGGCTTCAAAGACAGGTCAAACTGTATTCAATATAACAGAACCCACACAGGGGAGAAACTCTTCTACTGCTCTATGGGGGAAACTTCAGTCAGAGCTCAAATCTTGTTCGACATCTGAGAATCCCCACAGGAGAAACCCTGTAAACCTGAATTTCTTTTTGTGAGGCCTGGGCAAAATGCAATCTATGGACTGTCCAACTTGCTAAGCCATAAGCTCTGGCATGGAGAAGGAATGGAGTTCCCCAGGCAGGCTGCCCTGCAGCCACACAAGCCACTTAAATAAATTTAGTTTAGTCAACTAATCAGCTATTTGATGGAATTTCCCTGGATTAGTCAATAAGAAAGGAAGCCACAGTGGGATTAGTTCCCAGTCCTGGAAGCTAACCCTGATTTGCCTTTTAAATGTATTAAGAGTTGGCAGGCTCCTCCTGATAGAGGCAGACAGATAGGAGAAAGCAACTAATTGAGTGATTAGTGGACTATCCAATAAGCTTATGCTTAGTTAAGAGTCAGTTAGTTGCTTACATCTCTACACAGTGATTTGGCCACCCGGCCCTGTTTCCTTTTAAAACTTTAATCTCAGAGTTGAGAGGGAAAGCTTCAGGTGCTGCCTATGCCTCTAGCACAATCCCATTGGCCAGTTGCTGGCCAGAAACTGGCCCCTGGGAGCTGCCTGTTTAAATAACAAGCAGTCACAAATCACCAAGCCCCTTCCCATCTTGCTCAGCTAGTCACATAAGCACATGGCCAGGCAGGCTGGCTGAGGAACATTTTAAACTCTGTGTTAGCTGCTAGCTGGTAAGTCTCCTGGCTTTAGCCTCCCCCTGGCACTCCATTCCCTCCCTTCCCTAACCCTTTGCTCTCCCTACCACTCCTGCTCCCTCCTGTACCTATACCCTCTCCCAGATCTGGCACCCCAATCTCCTGTCCCAGAGCACAATCATCTCCTACCCTAGGTCACATCCCAATCTCCTGTTCTAGGTCACAATTGCCTCCTTCACCCAGACTCCCTCCCAAACTCAGTTGTCCCTGCTGTACCCCAGTCCTTTACCCCAAGCTCCCTTCTGCACCCAGCCTCCATTCCCAATCCTGCACCTCCTCCATTAGTAGCATGGAAGAGTGCAGCTCTTGGCCACTTTCCAAAATCTTGGAAAGCCCTTCATCAAAAATTATTGCCTAGCCCTGCTTTAAGCTTTGTGGCTATGAGGCTGTTTTTCAGCCTATTTAATGCCATGTGAGTTGTTCAGGCTCTGCGTGGGAGAAATACTTCTATTCACTGGTCTCAACCCCACAGGTCTACCCCCAGAGCTCCATGGCAGGGTGAGGTTTCTTTCCCCCCTTCAAAGTAGCACCTGAGCTCAAGGGGAGAGAGAGCTTCTCTCGTGGATGTAGCCTTTCAGTGGCCTGCATTCAGTCCCCTCTATCCTTGAGATCACACCCCTAGCTGGAGCCCTCAACCCTCCACCTTTCAAACCTCTGTCTCAGCCCTGAGGCCCTAATCTCCAGCCCCAACCCAGAGCCAACTCTTACACCCCTGCTCCTCAACTCTTTCGATTGTAAGGAATAAAAGGTTAAGGGCTGGAGCAAACTGCTGGTCCCCGGTCTTACCACGTGAACTTAGTTCTGTGCACCAATATGGAAATAGTGTGCCACACATTCCCTCCTTATTCATGCCCCCTAACAAACTTCATTCCACACAGGTGTGGGAAAAATTCAGTGGACCATTGTTTATAAATGCTCAGGCTGTGATACAAGCTTTAGTGAGACATCAGTCCTTGTTAGAGGTAGGAGAAGTCACGCTGCAGAGATACCCTTCAGCTTCTCCTGTGCCACAACCAGCATCACACCCTCCACAGAGGGTGGTTATAAAAACCAATCTCACCAAATCCAAACAGGTTCTCATGATCCCCAAGGAGTGGTCACATTTTCAGGTCCATTTACACCTTAAAGCCTACCTACAAGAGCACATTGTGCCAGTCCTTTAGAATCTAAAATCAAAAGAGTGATCAATGAAAGGAAGAAAATGTTGAGAATAACATTGTTAAAGGAAATAAATTACATACACCAGGTGCAGTGTTGTGGTTCAGGCTTTTAGCAGAGATGGAATAAACGGCTATTTTAAATCTCTCTGGAGCACATCCTTTGTTAGGGTGGATCACCAGTCCTTTTGGGATCAGGTTATAGCAAAGATGTATCTGACCTTATGAGCTGGAATGAAAAAAAAAATGGAGAGACCCCCAGGACCCTCTTTACACTCTTGCCCATGTAGAGGAAATTCTATTGTTCTTCCGGTGTGAAATTACCTCTTAAAATGGTGTTTGTTGCATGAACAAGTCACCTGTTCCATGTATGACTCAGGCACTGTCTACAGCAGTGTTTCTTAAACTTTTTAAGCCTGAGGAATGCCAAATAATTTTTTAATGTAAAACACTAAGGGTATGTCTGCATTGCAGGCTTTTTGTGCAAGAACAGTTGTTCTTGCGCAAAAACATGCTGGGTGTCTACACTGCACATGCATTCTTGCGCAAGTAAATTTACAGTACAGCATCAGAAAACAGGGCAGCTTCTTCCGGAAGAGTTATTCCTCTCCCACGAGGCATAGGTGCTCTTGCACAAGAGCTCATCCATAAGAAGGCAGTGTAGACAGGCAACATGAATTTCTTGTGCAAGAAGCCCCTATGGCTAAAATGTCCAGTAGAGCTTTCTTGCGCAAGAGAGCGTCCACACTGCCATGTAGAATAGTGATAGAAATGTAGCTGTGTCCACGCTGCCATGGATACTTGCACAAAAGCACATGGTGGTGTGGACGCGCTCTTATAGAAGACCTTTTGCACAAGAACTCTTCCACAAAACAATTCTTGCGCAAGAAGCCTGCAGTGTAGATGTAGCTCAAGGGTTTTTTATTAAGAGGAAAAAAAAAAGGCTGAGAGAAATTTGTTGAGTAAAAAACACACCTTATAAACACTGGTCTACACTATCATTTTTGCAGCTGTGGAAATGCAAATGAAGTGCTCGTTAGCAGTTTTGTGCTGTCATTGACTCATAAAGCTGGAAGGGACCTGGAGAGGTCATTGAGTTCAGTCCCCTGCCTTCACAGCAGGACCAAGTACCATCCCTGACAGATTTCCCCCAGATTTCCTCCAAATAGGCCCCCCTCAAGGGCTGAGTTCACAACGTTGGGTTTAGCAGGCTAATGCTCAAACCACAGAGCTGTTCCTCCCCTCAGGTGCTGTTATTTGCATATACTTTTCTGATCCTTTTTGTAGAAAAAACCCCCATGATGTAGATGATGCCATTTTGTGCAAAAAAAATTCCCCTTTTGCACTATATCCCTTATCTCACAAAAAAGGAGGTATACAGGATCTTGCGTAAAAGGGTTTTTTTGTGCAAAATGCCCCTGTATAGACTGCTTTTTCCACAAAAACCTCTTCCGCAAAAATGATCAGAAGAGACCGCAAATGACAGTGTGAGAAATGCTAATGAGTGCTTCATTTGCATTTCCTCTTCTGCAAAATGATACAGTGTAGACTAAGTCTTTTTAGATAAGCAGCCATGTCTTAAATGCTGCTCTGAAGTTACACAGCAAAGTCTTCAGCTATGAATTGGCACCACTTGAGGTGCATTGTTAGTCAGGTATTGCTGTACATTTGATTAATGAGTTTTTCACAACAGGTGAGTAAAACTTGTTGATAGTCTCCCAGAAACAAACATGTGAAATAGAAGTACAGAGTCAGTTCTCATAACTTCAAGTCAAAAACATATGTGTATGTGTACAAAAATTCTTCTAAAGACAAAAGTGGAATCTGTTAACATTTGTGGTCCATTTTTGTCCAGGTTATGGTCAGATGATTTTAAAAACTGTAAATTTTACTTATTTCAAATACTTTAATTTGAAATTTCATGGTGGGGTAATTGTGGGGTTCCTGACCACTAAAGGAATTGGGGGAGAGGTGGAGAGGTGTCACAAAGTTATTTTTGGAGAAGTTGTGGTATTGCTACCATTCTGTTCTGTGTTCAGAGCTGGGCACCTAGCCAGCAGCCATCACTGTGGCTACCTTTCCCTGAAGGCTGTGCAGAAGTAAAGGAAGCAATACCATGACCCCTCTGAAACAGGCTACATGATTATCTCATGCAGGCATTGAGACCTTGCAGTTCTGCCTGTCTACCTGGTACTGCCTTTGGAACAGGCAGCATTTCAGAGAATGCTAGCATTGAGGGCCTGGATTTCAACCTCATACCAGGCACTTAAACTTGCTTCCAAGATCTCTCTCCTATCCTTCCCTATGTCATTGATACCTGCAGGTACCATGACCACAAGCTGATCATTGAATTGCAGAGTTGGAAGGGATCTCAGAGGGTCATCGAGTCCAACCCCCTGCCCAAAGCAGGGCCAATCCTAACTAAACCTTCCCAGCCAGGGCTTTATCAGGTCGGGACTTAAAACCTCTTGGTTATGTCTAGACTGGCATGATTTTCCGCAAATGCTTTTAATGGAAAAGTTTTCAGTTAAAAGCATTTGTGGAAAAGAGCGTCTAGATTGGCACGGATGCTTTTCCGCAAAAGCACTTTTTGCGGAAAAGCGTCCGTGCCAATCTAGACGCGCTTTTCTGCAAAAAAAGCCCTGATCGCCATTTTCGCGATTGGGGCTTTTTTGTGCAAAACAAATCTGAGCTGTCTACACTGGCCCTTTTGTGTAAAAGGACTTTTGCCCGAACGGGAGCAGCATAGTATTTCTGCAAGAAGCACTGATTTCTTACAGTAGGAAGTCAGTGTTCTTGCGGAAATTCAAGCGACCAGTGTAGACAGCTGGCAAGTTTTTCTGCAAAAGCATGTGCTTTTGCGGAAAAACTTTCCAGTCTAGACACAGCCCTAGAGATGGAGACTCCACTACCTCCCTAGGTAAGCCATTCCAGTGCTTCACACCCTCCTAGTGAAATGGTTTTTCCTAATATCCAACCTTGACCTCCCCACTGCAACCTGAGACAATTGCTCCTTGTTTTGCCATCTGTCACTGCTGAGAATAGCATGCCCAGCTCAGGATTTGATCCTACCTCAGACGCACGTCAACAGGGAAATGCAATTGCACCTTCCCCCCCCCCTCAAACCAGCCCAGCCTTGTGCCTGCTGGTGGAGCCTCCTGTCCCTGTCTTGCCTGAGCCCCTGGCCAACTCACAGCTCGTGAGTCACATGTAGCTCTTCAAAGAAAAAATTGTGGCTTCTGCACCTGTGGCTCTTCAAAGGGGAGTATGTTTCTATCTGACAGAGCCTGAATCACGGTGTCCCATGCAGCCTTCAAAATGACCACCTTAAGGTTGGGGGGGGGTTGGCTCAACAGATTTCTTCCCTTCAGTCTTTGTGTTGTATCTACCACTATTTTGGTTCTTCATCTGTAACAGGTTGGCCACCCCTGCCCTAAGCCTAGGAGCCATATTGTTTAGGGCAGAAGCAGTGAGAATGACACCTTCCTAGCTCAGCTTGCACCCCTTCCCATTACTCAGGGAACTTTCTTATTAACAGGGGAACCCCCCCAGGTCAGCCCCAAACTCAGGGCTCAGTACAGTCTGTAAATGTGCCAGGCCCGGGTAGCTCCCCCTCACTCTCTGGTGGGGCTGTCCATCCTCAGGCTCTTCTTTGTCTCCAGCCAGACCCTGCTCTGTGTGTCACTCCTGGGCCTCCCTTCCCATGCTGGTGGGGCTGGACAACTGCTGTCCTGTAGCAAATGGCCAAACATCTTCCAGTGAAAGGGAAGCTACAGCTGCATTGTAAGTGCTTAGAAGAACACAGTTGTATACCCCAGGTGGGACTTGAATCCACACCCCTTGGTTTTGGAAGTTAGTGCCATGTCCAGTAGGCCACTGGGGCCAGACAAGAAGGGTGCAGGAGGACAGAAATCCTCTCTCCCAAAAGCACACCTCACACTGGCTGGGCAGACATGTCCTTCCTTTCTACTCCTGGCAGACACATCTGCAGCTGCTGGCAGGTCACTGAGGGTGAGTCTAAACTACACTCCTCTTTCGACAGAGGGATGTAGATTAGGCACGTTGATATTGCGAATGAAGCCAGGATTTAAATACCCTGTGCTTCATTTGCATAATGGTGGCTTCCGCTTTTTTTTTAAAATGGGGCTTTAAAAAAAAACGGCAGTCTAGATGGAGATATTGAAAATAAAACCCTTTTTTGAAAGATCCCTATTTCTTGTAAAATGAGGTTTACAGACTGCTGTGGGTTTTTTTTCGAAAAAGCCCCGTTTCGAAAAAAATTGGCAGTTGCCATTATGCAAATGAAGTGTGAGATATTTAAATCCTGGCTTCATTTGCAATATCAATGTGCCTAATCTATATACCTCTGTCAACAGAGGGGGGTAGTTTAGCCATGCCCTGGCAGAGCTGAGCCTGGGCTGGCAGCAGCATGGGCTGGTCGGCCACAGCCCTGGGAGAGCAGCTGGGGGAGCCGACTGTTGAAGTGCCCACACAGATGCTTCTTCAATCTCCACCCCACTCAGCCGCCTACCCCCTGCCTCTTCTAGCACATCCTTCCCCACCTTCTTCCCACAGGGCTTTTACAGGGGGTAGCTCCTGCCCTGGGTATTCAACCTGCTTCTACTCCCACCAGAGCAGAGGATTTACCTGACACAAGTTAGTGCCTCTGCCCTCCCTGACCTTGGCTGCTGGGTTTCCCTCCTATTTAGCTGGCTGGCCCCATGTAAGGTCACATGAGACTATTCATATGCGCCTCCCCCCCAGCACATAGCCCTGGGCAGCCGCCCTGGTCGATCAGGTCTCAGACTGGCAGTGTCTGCAAAAACATTGGTTTTGAAGGAAAAGGTGTTGATAGGGTTATTAAAAGGCTTTTTCATTGGCGGGGTCATTGTGCTTGTTGATTGGTTATTTTTTGGATGACTGAGTGCTTGCACATGCAGCTGTGCTTTAGCAAATCAGAATGATGCAAGTCATGAGTAACTCAGCGCCTCTGGAAATGGGAGTGGAGTAAAAAGTACTATATTTAAAAAAAACCTGCTTGGGTGTATCTAGACTGGCACAAAAACTTGCCAGCTGTCTACACTGGCCTCTTGAATTGGCGCAAGAGCACTGATGTTCTAATGTAAGAATTCAGTGCTTCTTGCACAAATACTTTGACACTCCTGCTCAGGGATAAGCCCTCTTGCGCAAGAATATTTGCGCAAGAGGGCCAGTGTAGACAGGCACCTTAATTTTTTGTGCAAGAAAGCCCGATGGCTAAAATGGCCATTGGAGCTTTCTTGTGCAAAAGCGCATCTATACTGGGTACAGATGCTTTTGTGCAAAAGCACTTTTTGCGCAAAACCATCCATGCCAATCTAGATGCTCTTTTGCAGAAATACTTTTAACAGAAAAACTTTTTCTGTTAAAAGTATTTCTGCAAAATCATGCCAGTCTAGACACAGCCCTTG